TACCGCTTTTCGAAACCAATAAAGCTTGTCTCTTCGTCTGTCCGTCGTGTTTTCTCGTATTCAACCTCGCAATTATTAAGATATTTCAATGACATTTTTTGCACTAACGTATTTTGGGCCAATAAAAATTTCTGTCGGAAATGGTCCGGATCGGATCTCTCGTTCAATCACTTCCCATATAACGCCTTAATTTGAAAAGTCATTATATGAATAACTGTATTAAGCAAAGTGGTGTGAAATATATATGTGTTTACTGCTTTCGTTCGTTTTTCAACTGAAAAAATTGTTTATCTATTTTGAGAGTTTTACTGTTATATAAATAAATATTTTTTCTTTCATTCATATTTCAAAAAATATTTATTATATTTTTAACGAATATGATATTGGCTTTAAAAAAAAAAATTATATCAATTCGTCGACGGGCATATCTAACATTGTCGTTTTTAATTTAATTTTTTATTAATGTAATTTAATTTAATTTATAATATTGAAACATTGATGTAATGAGTATATAAATCTCTTACACTTCAGTAGATTAACATTGTTACATAATATATTATATGTAACACTTGAAAAGTATTTCAACAGCATGACCAGGCAGAAACGTTCAGGACGTACCACAACTTGCAACTTAAAGTGTGGATATAGAATAGTAAACTATCGAGTAATAATAGAATCAGTTTAAGGATGATTAAAACCACAAGCATAATTATTTCCTGTTTAAAACAAGAAATACTTACAATCGATTTTGTATTAGACTATTCCATAATATTGCAGCATCAACAAAGGCCAGCCTTAAAGATATTGAATATCTTTTCCTTTCCTTAGTTAATAATGCAATTTGCTTTTCCTATTTCAAGTGGCAACTTCAAATGTTTACTATTTACAGATTTTAGCTTAGAAGATGAAATTCTTCTTGCTCGCCCTACTTCAAGATGTCAAAGTAATATATTAATGAAAAAAACGTAGGCATACATACGTTCAAACGTTGCAAACGTTCTTTAGCCAACAAGACTAACAGTTTTTATTCAAATATAGTCTGAGTTACTAGGTGATTATGTCTGATCTAATTGATAATTTTAGTAACCGTCAAATAAATCGTAATAGTTTAATGGGCAGAATTCATCCTATCGCAGTGAATAAAATCATTCTGAATTTCATGTGCAGAGTAAAGAAACCTGGGGTAAAGGGATAGACAACTCTAGATTTTTTAAGAAATGACCTTTTTTTTACTTAGCAGATACTTTTGACCTTCGAGAATACGTGGAAAGAGCCTCATTACCTACAAAAAAATTTTTCTCCTTGAAATTGTGGGACTTTCTGTTAGCAAAATGTCTTGAATATAAGGACTAAAATTGTTGTGTGTAATTTTAATGACAGTATGATGCATGTTGGTACTCAGTCAAACAATTATTGCATTGCGGTCTTCGACAGATATAGTAAAACAGGAAAGTTGTAGGAATAGCCGAGCTTGAAAGGACAATTTGATAGTCAAACTTTAACGCAATGATCTTTTCTAGTAAAAATTTGAAACACAATTTTGAACCAAAACAATTTCATTTCTTTCATTCGAATTTTTTATCGTATTTTCAAAACAACGTTTTCTAGTGAACCGCGTACTATTCTTTCGATAAGTTAATTTTAATATTTTTTACTAACAAAGGAGTGGCATTGTTTTGCTCAAACAAGCGCCAATTATAGAGAAATCAATATTTTCTAAAACCCCTACGTATTTCACTAGATATAAGAATGTCGAATAAATGATTTTTTTCTAATTTAAATTTGAACAAGTTGTGCTGCTTGCCGCAGAGCCCCTTAAGTTGAAGTTGTCAACAGAAAATAGATGCGGTTTTGCCATTTTGAAATATTTTTTAAAAATAATTTTTTTTTTAATCATTGTAGATATCTTTAATGATCTCCTCAAATATTATTGTTTTGCTATTTTTCTTTGCGTCCAAGAAAAACTCTTCGTTTAAGCTGTTACTCTCTGCTGGGCTCGTTAATCTACATTCGGTATTTTGAAATTAATATTTACCTTGTTGTCCTTGTTATTACGGACAATCGTGTAAGCACAGCGCTGCAATGCTCACATCGAACTGTTCTAAAAAAGTCAATATAAAGAATGAATAGTGTAAAAAGCATACGTACTCGATAAACCTAAATAATAAAGAATAATAGAGAAAATAAATGTCAGAAAACTAATTCTACTACCGATTAGTTCTATTTTTTTCTTATTCTTTTGTTAAAATTTTTCATTTTTGTTTTTATGATCAGTTATGTCTAGAATTTATAGTTTACGCTTTATTGTCTCAACACAAATGCACATACAAATGCAGACGTACATGACTTTATGCGATGATGAACATTATGGTTTAACCATTAAAGTGTTTATGCTGCAGAGTATACGCATATATATATATATATATGTTACAGTCTACTACATAATAATGATTACTGAAGTGAACTAAATTGAACTGTTTGCGGCACAAAAGCGATGTTAGTTTCTGTTGATAAGTGCCACACTTTTAGCACATTAAAGAGTACATGCAACTGTCAATTGGCCGCATTGTGTTTATGCCTGAAGTCAACCATCACACATTATAATAGCACATCAAATAGCATACAACACATCACATATCACAACGACTTGATGGCTTATTATAAACATTGCATTCAACGAATTTTCAATGGGCAAATTCATTCAAACACATGCTTTTTAATATATATATATATATAATACATATACATCTTCACATATGCATTTATATTCATTTATGTATATGTGAAATCTTGCATATATCGTATATATGTGTACATATATATATATATAAATATACCAGCAAGTATACGTAATTATATTATACAGTAATGTAATGAAGTTCACACAGTGCATAGACACATTAAAACCCTTGTTCTTGTGACTATGACCTGGAAAAAAAATTGTAACAAATTTCTTTTTGTTTTACACAGAGAAAATTATCAACCCATCGCCCTTACTGCGTTTTTCCTTTTTCCGTTGATTTTAGTACAAAAAGAAGCTTTCTCATGCTTTACCTTAACTTTATTCAAATTATTGTAATTTACTATGACTTGATTTCTTTCTCTTTATATATAATTTTATATTAACTTTTTTTCTTTTAGCTTTAAATTGCTTTTAACTTTATTGTCTTTTTTGGTTTATAGTTTTTTATTTAATTCGCAGCATCGGAGAATGACAATAATTGAAGTTTGCGATTACGTTTGTAACGTAGAAAAACACACCATAACTTACGGTAAAGAAAGTTACGGTTACATAGGCTCAAAACGTACTAAATGTGTCTACAAAAAGTTTAAACAATTTTTAGAATTTGAAAATTTTTCCTCATTAATACCGACAATCACTCATAGGGAATCATTCAAGGTTGACCACAAAATGAAAATTTTGTAAATTGCTTGTCATTTACATACGCTAATGACTGTAAGAACAGTTTGCATAGGAGCCGGAAAGAAGTGACCGTATTCAAGGTCAATTTAGGCATAAATTCTTGATCACGACAAAATCTGTTTCAAACATATTGAGTAATTAATAAAAAATTACGCCTCTTATTAATTTTTTGTTTATTTTTTTTTTGTTTTTTGCAGTAGGGAAAGTCAAAGACTCGCCCAAAAACGAATTTTTCTATTTTGTTTTTTAACTATTTAACAAAGAAATTGCTAATGTGTTTCGTGCCCTACTCATTATTGTGTGTGCTTTCTATTCAAAATGTTTTAATTCGTAATTAGCTTGATTTCAAAAGACAGAGAAGTTTTTTCCGCTTTCTTTGCCATTTTTTAATCTTCTATCTTTTTGTTACTATGATGACTGTTTGTTATCGCATTAGCTTCTTAACTGAATCTGGCTACATGAAAACTGTTTTCGAATGTTTTGCTTGTGCTTTTTGTTTTTGTTTTTTTTTTTGTCTTCTTAATTTTGATCATGTAATTGCAAATAACTCATTACTTTTCCTTTCTTTTTTTTTTTTTTTTTTTTTTTTGTAACATACAGGAAATCGTTTTTCATTTATAAAAAAATATAAAATTATAAAACTTGCCACATTTTCATTTTTT